GTAGAGGAAAAAGTACTTAAAAACAGTAATTCAAGGAAGATAAAAGAAGATTATCAAGTAGAAGAACCAAATAGAATTAATTTAAACTTTTCAAAAAAAACAATTTTATCCAATGAATTAGATCAATCCATGATGGATAGTCATGAAACGAATAATTTAGTAAATTTATCTATCGAGGAAATCTCAAATGCTGTATATACTGGAATAATATCTGGTTTATATAGAGGTCCGGTACTTGGTTTCCCCATAACAAAACTTTCGATAAATGTACACTCATTACGTTTATTTGGCGCTGAATCGACTAAAGCTGCAATTAGTACATGTGCTTCACAAGCTTTGACCGATGCGTTAAAAGGTAGAAACCTTGTATTACTTGAACCATTAATGAATGTAAATATTGATGTACCTGAAGAATACTTGGGAGATGTTCTTGGTGATTTAACTGGAATACGTCGGGGAAATGTTTTAGGACTTGAAACTTCCGAAAATATTCACAATAATTTTGATCGTAATATTGAAATTTATGCTCCTTCAGATTCTACTTTCATTACATCTAATAATAATAATAATAATGTAATTGTTAACCCAAAAAGAATTATACATGCTCACGTTCCGTTATCTACAATGTTGGGATATTCTTCTTCATTAAGATCTTTGACAGGTGGAACTGCATCTTTTGATATGAGAGTACTTTCTTTTGGAGTTATGAGTGATGATCGAGCAAAAGCTGTTATTCGTGAAATGAAAGGTGGTTTTTGATGTGGTTTTGATGTTTTATATGTGAATTTCTCTGAATTTTCCTTCTAAATCGGTGGTATTAGGTTATGTCTATATTTCATTAAAAATAATTTAACTCTAATAATAATAAATAAGGGGGCCGTATTCATACTCCCTTAGTATTTTAATTAGTTATAGCTTTTATTGTATATATGGGCTGCCATCAATATAAATCTGACAAATTAACATTTTTTAAAAAAATAATACTCTAACTTTCATGGCTTATATCTCAATGAATTTTGAAAACATTTTAACAATTTAAAAGTGAAAATAAAGCTTAAAACTTAATTTTACTTAGCGGAAAATATTTTTAGCAGGTTTAAATGTATTAAATAATATGTATAATGGATATTTTTGTTGAAGCAAATGTGAATATGCGTTCGGAAAAAGCCAATGAAAATCACGAATTGTAAGTTCCCGTTGTCACGGGGTAAAATTGGCATTTCCGAAACGTGATGAAACTGCGCCTCCAGAACAAGATCATCGTAGGCTTAGAAGGCTCAAGGATGCAGATCCAAGAATATTCTGAGAGAAACGACGATTAATCGAAAAGTCAGTCAAAGCTTCTTTAAATCGTATGATAGCAAAGCCTCCTATTTAATCTATATCTTTATACTCAGAAATCTTCATCAGATCAAGCATTAACTAGCATGACCATTGAAATCTATACTACTTCACCTAACTCAGAATTTCTACCATACAGGTCTTCTGCTCATAGATCCTATCTCAATTTATTTGTGTAATACAACTTTAACATTCTATCACATTTCTAATGTCTGAACAATATTAGTGTAATATAATTTACAGGATTACAACCTCTAGAAATGAACAGAGTTTATCATAAGTTAAATACAGATGTCTAGATAATTATTCATTTTGTCAACAATAGGATTTGAACTCTAGACCTCTTGCATGGCAGTCTGATAACCTATCTACTACACTAGATTGCTAAATCTCTTAAAATTAATATTTAAAATTTTTATCTGATATTAATAATTATTTTTAAAAATTGCAGGTAAATTTGGCTGCAATACAATTTAAGAGATAGTATTATTTTGATTTGCAAATTTGTATAACAAAAACAAAAAAAATAAATTTTTATAAAAACAAAAAATAACTTTTAATTATTTTAGGATTAGAATGAGATCTAAAATTTTATCTAGTTATTAGTATATGCAAGGAATTTTTTTAATTAGAACTTCAAGAGTAGTTATATAAGTGAAATTTTGAAATATTATTATTTTTTTGAAAAAATAAATAAAAAAACAAAATTTTAAGTTATATCTGATCTTAAATTTTGATTGGCTATTCTAATACTTTGTGTGATATGGTATTTAATATCTATGGTGCAGAATAGTACTACTATTAAACAAAATTTAATTTTATAAAATATAATTAATAATTGTAGCTACATATATTTTTTTTTCAGCAGTCATGCCATGACTTTATTTAGATTTGCTTTTTATTGAAAAAAAAGCTACATTATCAAGTTTTATACTATCTAATACCTAATTTTTTAAGCTCTGACTTACCCAGTTATCCCAAAGATATCTATATATAATCTGCCATAGTAACCTTTGTCTTATACTGGAGTTGTTTATAGTTTATAAACTACAATATAGTATAAGAAGAACACTACAATCTATTATGACTAACTTAAAACCCAACTATCTGAAATTCCCTTCTTTACTTCCTTAGCTATGCTATCTAGTGCTATTTTTAGGCTAATATTATAATTTTCTGTATTTTCATCTGTTCTGCATTTTGTTTTTCTTCCTACAGTCTTTTTCTTTAGATCATTTTTTCTTTTTTCCTTCTAAGAGTATTTCTCTTTTTTTGAAATCTTTTCTTTTTTCTCCTATGCTTCTATAACTTTGCATCAGCTTTTCCAAACTTCTTTATAGAATAGCTCTATTCATATATGCTAGAAAATACTTCAAAATTTTGTTATTATACTTTCAGAGCTAACAATGTTTTTGATTTTTTCTGCATCTTCTTCACTAAGAATACCTCTTATCTATCCTTTTCTTTTTTGTTGTTTCTTTTCCTGTTTATATTAAATAGCTTGTTGTATGCTCGATAAGTTCCAATTTTCCTCCTTTCTTTTATTTTTATAGAGCTGTTTTCATATTTCTTCTTCAATTTTTTCTAACACTTGATTTGATTTTTCACAAGTAATCAAGTACTCAATCATTTCTTTTTCCTTAAAGCATCTCTTATATAAGCTGTTTTTGTATAATTGAGGTCTTCTATGGTTTAAAATTTCAACAGTTGGAAGAAGGTTTTCGATACATTTGGTTTTGAACAATCGTAAGTGGTTTACTTCAGAATTCTAGTATTGCTTATCATAGCTTCTAAGTATACTCTTAAAAGCTTTCCAATTCTAATTATGAACTCTTGTTTGATGTTTCTTATTGTTTTTCTTTCTTAACTATATCCATTCTGTTTTGTATATCGTTTGAACTGCTTTTTTAATGAAAGCTCTTATTGGAGTCTCCAAGCTTATCTTTTTCTATTTAGGAATATATCTTATACTATTGTTACTAATATTGCTTAGTTCTATACTGTATGCTTCATATATTCTTTCTTTTGCAAGTATATCTGCAGCATCATTATAGATATCCCTAGAATAACTTTTGACTTTTGTAAGTGTTAACTGAACTGATTTGCTTTTGCAAACTTTCTTGATTATACACAGAATATTATTATTTTTTTGACTTTAACTACTCATATATTTTCTTATTCTTTAGACAGTTCTCGATTGCAAAGATTGTACATATGCTATCTGTTCTTATTTCTACTTTGCAACTATTAGAGACTAACAAAACTGCTATTAAACAAGCTACTAGCTTTGCTCGAGTAGATAAGAACTAGTTTTTTATTCTTCTTTTTAACTAAAAACTATATTATTTGTATTATCTATTTGGACTACACTAAATTCTATTTTTATTTTTTCTCTAGCATCTTCTCAACTGAGTAAGCCATCTGTATAGAATACTATTTTCTTCTTTTCTCTATTCACCTCTAGTCTAGCCTTTAGTTCTTCTCTAACTCTTGTATTTCGGACAACTTGGTTAATTAGCTCTGCTTCCTAGCTACTTTTACTTCGATATGCTCTAGATTCTTAAACTTTTTAAAATCTCCTACTTTGCTTTTTTGGTTCTCTTTTTCTTTTTTTTTTTTTTTCTATCTTGAGACTAGGTATTAACAACTTTTAGTTTAGTCTTAGATTAGATTAGGAAGGATCTAGGATCTTGATAGTAGCTAGAAGTCACCGATTGTTGATCAAAAGCTAGGATGTACTGTTTTATACAGTGAACTACTTTTAGGGGATAAATAGCTTTTGCAGTAGATCGAACTTGAGCATGTTTAACGTAGCTGAGTTAGTCCAGACCAAATCTTAGAGCAGTATATAGTTATGTCGAGATATAATAGTATACTGTATATTATCTTCTAATAAACTTTCTATAATAAAGAAAAGGGCAAGATCGCTCAAGTGGAAAAAAAAAAAAAAAAAAAAAATTTGAGCAGAGTTTACTGTAAGTTGGATACAGATATCTAAGTAATTATTTAATTCTGTTAACAATAGAATTTGAATTCTAGATCTCTTATATAGCAGTCTGGCAACCTAACTACTACACTAAGATCACCAGACCTTAATATGTATCACTTTTAAAATTTATAAAATTAATAAAGTTAGCCAATAGTATTTGTATAAAGTAAAAAAAAAAAAAAAACATTTATAACAAATTATGCGAATATTTATGGATTACCATTATCTAGTAAATAATAACTTAATATTAATTAAAATTTTTTAAATTAACATTAAAATAATAATTAAAATTTAGATTTATTTTAAAAACTTGACAAACAAAATTCTAACAAGACAAAATCTCAACAAATTTAACTAGAATTATAGTTAATTCTGGCCAAATTTGCCAAGCTTTTATCTTATCAGGATTTTGTTGGTTAGAATTTTTAATAGATCCTTAAAATTTAATAGGTTGATATTTACATGAAGACACAAAACTAATTATATTTTTACTAGCTAATGAAAGCTATTCATCCTTATATAGACTATATATTGATACAATTAAAGAATTTTCTGATTAAAATATTAGCAATTCATCATTTTATCAAATTTGAAAAAAGTATATATTTGAATTTAAGTTTTTAACACTATGAAGTGACCTTTGTGAGTTTTGTAAAGAAATGCAATTCAATACAAAATATTGGCCAGAAAATGAAATTGAAAATAAAATTAAACAATAAAACTATTATTATGAGTAAGCTCAGTATAAAAGAATATTTTACAAGTAAGAATATTATTATAATTATAAACTATTATATGAGTTGTTGCCTAGCAAATTAGGGCTTAGAGAGATTTTACCTGAAATTGAGATTTTTAGTAAATTATTTTCTCAAGTATATGCTTTACTTGTGGTAAAAAGTTTTTTTTTTTTTTTAACTATCCTAGATTTTTAAGATCTGAGGTGTGTGTGGCACTCTTTTTATTAAAAATATTCCTAAAAGTATTATTTACATATTAAAGAAGACTAAGCTAAATATTTATAGATTTTTTTATAGATAGGTTTCATAAAATTTTTATCACGAAGTAATTTAATTTCTTTTGAAATTCTGTTTCTAGTTAATGCTGCAATTGTTTGTTCCGAGTAATTTATTTCACCCCATTTATAAGCTGCATAAGTACACCAGATCTCATAGACTGCATGTATATGTAGGCATAATATTGTATTATATATTCTTTTATTTCCTGTATAGTTGTTGAGAAAGATTCCTTCGTTTGTAGATGGTATAGTTTCAGTTTGGCCTGTTTTTAAAAATTTATAGGCTTCCTTTCAGATGATTTTACTAATTTTATAATCAGTAGCTAGGTGTTCGATAGTTTGTATTTGGTCCAAACACCAAAGGCATTCTCCTGTTTCTGTGGATATGAAGTGTTAGAGTCTATAGCCTAGTGGTAGAGCTCTGTGGTAAAGTTGCCATAATATGTCCTTTTTCTTGTTTAGTAGTGCTTTTTGAAGAATCCAGTTGTATGTTTGATCCATATTCTCTTCTTAGTTGATTTGTTTAACACTACACTTTCTCAGAAGTTCTATTAGAAATTTTACTAAAATTTCCGAGGTTTTTTTTCTTTTCTATTTCAAGATCTGCAAGGTTCCAAGGCCAGCTAGATTCTATTATAAGCTTTTCACTAACCTTTTTCTATGCTAGAAGGTATGGTTTCCAGTCTGTTGGCTAAGCTTTAGATCTAATAGGTTGTGCAAGCAATGCATCTTCTATTAGGATATTCCTTTTTTGATATAATGATAGAGAAATTCTTTCTCTTTCGATTTTTGCCCATAAGAGATCACTTGAGATTAGTTTCAGCCAAACTGATATAAGTCTCGCT